GTTTCTCGTTCGCCTTTGTAGTTTTTGGCCTCCCCAGTTTATTTCCGTTCGAATCAATATTCACCGCTTTTTTTGGGTTAGAGAGATTCTCATTCTATTATTACGGTTTACATGGAAATTTTCGCAGGTTTTGCTCTTTGATTAACCATAGGGCCCTCTTTTTCATTTGGTACTAACTAATGAATATATGGTTCTTAATCTTCGTAATCAGTTTAAAATTTCAGGAGATGATCAGCACCCACATAACCTCCCACTCAAGGACAAACCCAATGAGATATCTCGTAAAGAAGCATATTTAATTAAATTTTGTGGGGTTTTGCTTGATGACACTCTCTGCAGTTTAAAGAGGACTTTTAATTCACTATTTGTCACATAAAGCTCTATCACAATGAGATAATAAATTATACAAACTAGAACTAAGGAAAAAGGTTCAAGTCGGGTGCAGTCATTTCATTTTAAGTTTAGGAATACTGGAATACTAAGAACTCAAAAGTCAAAGGAAACTAGGGTAAAAGTGATATACGACAAAAGGGCTTCCATCCATGACGAATAGGCGTTCTTGATCGGATATTATACTTGATTTTTCCACAATCCCAATAATATCGGTACAAATAATGCGCGAATCGAGTACAAATATTCTGCAATATTGCACACTTTCCTTTTTTTGTACTGTAAATAAAAGGTCGGCTGCGCGCGCTTTGCTTCTCTATCTACCACGCTCTTCCCACTTAAAGAAATGCGCATGAAATAAAGCAGTTGGATAATACTAAACTTATCAGACGTTTTGTTGTGTGGTATCGCAGATTATCTTTTCTCATTGTTTGTATTTTGACAGGCCCTACGGGTTGGTCAAAATATGACACAACTCTTAAAAGTACTCAGCGATATGTAACACGAAAACGTTCTATAAGTTTTATTCTAGTACCTTTCACCACTCTGTTGCGGGTTCTGAGTAAATTTCATTCTGCGATGCAACGAACAGGTATCAAATTCGAATTAGAAATATGCAAGTTCTAATTCGACTCCAAAAGATAATCAGCGTCCGGTGTACAAAAAAGAAATTTCAGTGACTTTAGCGCACGGCTAATACAAGTAGAAAAGTAAGGAAAAGCTAGAGAGGGGTGGGAGCGTCATTTGCAGCTATTTGACAACTAACAAAGAGTAAGGGAGGGGGAGGGGGGTTTTGCTCTGCCATTCAAAGTAACTTCTGCTCTTAAATGAAGACCGCTTCATCTGTCAAATCCACCCTAACCACTATGTCAAACCTCCCTCTATTTTGAAGTTAAGTGGTAAAGAAAAGTAGCAACCTCCTAACACAATTAACATGTAAGTCAAAAAAAGATAACCTCTCCATGGGTTGAGTTTTTTTGTTTTTTTTTGCAAGCAGAAGTGTTGTGATGCTGCACCCCCCCAACCCTAACTCTGCCTCCCCCCCCTCCTGCTCCTTAAAAACTTTGGAGAACAATAATACGTTAGACATTGTGAAGTTCCAAGGTGTACCAACAACAAAGTAAAAGACCTTACAAACCTCATTTGTATATGGAGACAACTTAAACAAGTTGCAACTAACAGAACTAATCTCAAGGATTAAAACCCAAGGTTAACTTTACAGCTGACCCAGAAGAACACCCTCTCTGGGTCACTAGTGAACTATTCAAGGAAAACTTCAGAGAAACCTTAGGTGGATTCCATCTCATGAAACTGACTATTTGTCCAGTGAAATGGGTATTTTAAATGGATGTTGAATTGCATACTGTTAAATGAGGTGATATTTTTATTTCAGGAATTTCTCATGGAAAAGAGAACAAAAACATATCAGTTGCAATCTAAACATATCTAATCAACCCCTAATGACAAGTCTGCAATTTACTTCTTCCACTTTTTTTCTGAACCCAGATGCCTTGACAAGATACAGGAAACACCAAACCACAAATCTGTATTTATTTGTATTTCAGTAAACCTTTTCACAGAATAATCCGTTATATAATGCAGCTTTAACATCATTTCTTACAATCGATTGTGTGGTCAGTTGGAAATCACAGTTTCCTTTCTGTCTTCTAAGATGGTGTATGCATAATACTTTTTTAACTTCAGCCACCCATCCAGTGTCTGTGCATAAATAACCTGTCTTTGTTTACCTGGTATTGTTTGCTTTACCAGATATCATTTTTACAGAATTTGAACAAAAAGCTATTCTTGGTATTGCCTCGTGGAAGTTTTTAAATAAAAATCATACAATTCATGATTTAGATATAGACTAAACGTTTCCTTACAACTTTCGCATTCCAAAATTTAGGGTGGACTTTTTGTACACATTAAAACTGTACCCATCAAAGGGTTTTTAGGTCAGATTTTTATGACTTTGTTTACATTACATTTTCTTCCATATTTGTATCTTTCTGGCAATTTTAAAGAGATAAATAATATTAAAATTACGTTAAATTAACCTTCCAGCCGAGGTCTAAATCAAGTTAGCGTCATTATTTAAGGCCTATTCTAAATGCTACCTTGTCGATCGCTTGCACTTCTTACCGCCCAAGTTTGGTTTTTTTTTTT